CGAAGGTGGTGGGAGGGAGTTCTCACAGACCTAACTGGAGCTCTTCACTGTATTGAGATTGTAGCTGGGACCCAGAGAAGCTGCCATTGGCCCCAGGAATTAGTTTCTAGGAGGCAAGGCTGGGATTAGAGCTCAGAATCCTGACTCTCCGTCTAAGAATTGGATCGCCTCAATTATGTCCCTCAGAGAGCCTCCTTATCTTCCATGTCAAAACCTGCAATGGGCCTAGTGCTTCAGGAGGATTGTGCCCTGGGGTCCCACCTGTAGCCTGAGGGTCCGCATGTGCCTCCATTTTTGCATCCTCCTGGGGGAGGCTAGAGGAGGAGTGGAGGTTAAGCACAGTGTTATCCCCATGCGCAGTGTTAGGTGATTCAGCCCCAAACCTGGGAGAGCACCCTTATGCTGGACCCCTGGGAGGAATGAGGAGCGGGCAGGTGAGGGTAGGTCAGGGTGAGGGGCCGGGAGAAGTCATGGGAGGGAGAGACCCAGGTGTGTCAGCCCTTGAGCAATGTGAGCAGATCCCTTTTAAAAACTCAGAGTTACCCTTGTGTCTCTGGCTCAGGAAAGCAATGAGAGAAGCCCCCATCTGGAAGCAGTGCAGAGGGGCTGCGGGCAGGGAGGACAATATTTTTCCCTTTCATATTCATATTTGAAGCAGGGATAGGTGTGTAGCTCAGTGGTAAAGTGTTTGCCTCAAATGCACCACAAACAAAAAGAGAAGTTTTTTTGCACCAACAAAAAAGAAGAATTTGAATTGGGTTCACTGGGGATGAGGAGAGTCTTGGGGAAAAGTACAAAGAATTTTAAATCTCGAAGGGACCTTGGAGTCTTCTAATGCAGCCTCGTGGGGCATAGACGGAGACACGTAGGCCCAGAGAGGACAGTAATCACAGGACTCTATTTACTATGGCTTAGGAACTTTTCATACATTAAAATATTTACTCTTTACAAACGCTTGGAAGTAAGTAGGATCATTCTCATTTTCCAGATGCGGAAAGTGGGGCACAGAAAATTTGTGCAGCGAGTTGGGTCTAGAGTGAGGATTTGAAGCTGCGTAGAACAGCAGAGTTGAGCCCCTCAGCACTGAGCTGAGAGCAGGCTGGAACCCCGGCTCCCGAGCTCCCTAGCACAGCCTCCTGGCTCCTCTGTTCTACTTCCTTTGACCTGAGGCCTTGGGACACCTAACTCTCCAGGAGCATAGGCCAAACCCGTCACCCACAAGTCAACTACAGCTCAGGGAAGCCTGACCCCCGAAACTGGAGGGCAGGCCTGGGGTGGGAGCTCCCACAGTCAAACTCTTGCCCCCTTGGTTTATCCCTGTAAAATATCAGGCTTTGGGGGTTTCCTGCAGGACCCTCTGACTCTCTGGCCCAATCCTTTTTTGTTTGTTTGTTTTCCAAGTGCATAAAGTTGTAGCTTAAGTTGTATATCAAACCCATGACCCTCGGGGATTGTAGAGCTATATTTCTTTCTAGTAGCATTGATGTGTGTAATTCCTTTGCTGAGACTGAAATGGAGGAATTCTCCAAACCCTACTTTTCTTAGAAAACGGATCACATTTGCCATGTCGCATTTATTATCTATCTGTCCAGGACTGAGAATTAGGAAGAGGATTTCACAGGTGACAAAGAATTTATGTTGGACTCTGGGAAGTAGAGGTTAAACAGCACCTAAAAAAAGAGTTGTTGCCCTTAAAAAACAATTTGAGTCCTGTCCAGGAAGGGGGTGAAGGCAGGGCATGCTGTCTCACACATATCAGATGTGAGCTTTATTGCTCTTCATAGCTAGAGCATCGAAAAGCCCAGGGTTATGAAGAGATGGTGCAGGGAGTTTAAAAATAAGGCTAAGTATAGGGTGGTCACACCTGTAATCCCAGCGACTCTGGAGGCTGAGGCAGGTTTGCTAAATCGAGGCCAGCCTCAGCAGCTTAGTGAGACCCTGTCTCAGAATAAAATATAAAAAGAACTGGGGGTGGAGCTTGTGGCCAAGTGCTCCCAAGTTCAATCTCTGGTCCAAAAAAAAAAAGCAATGTTAAAATATAAAATGATTATAAGTGGTTATGATGCAGGTGTTGGTGT